TAGTTTGTAACCAGTGACTACTACAGTTACCTATTTAAGTATCATTCATTGTGGAAGCTGGATTGGTTTCTAAAAAAAGTTTAAACTTTTTCTAAATTGCAGCAGTATTCATTCACATTTTAATGACTGGATATACTGAAGCAAACTATAGTCTGTAATAAAGCCCAGATCTTACAAAGTTTTTTAGGTAGCAAAACCATTTTAGGGAGGTCCAACAACCCATACAGGTACCCTCCAGCCAATTGGGTAAGTATGGTAGAATTGCTCTCTTGCCAGTTTTGACTCTATTGCCAATCTCACTGCCATTCTTAAGGAGAGGGAATAGGACTCATACTTCTGCCCTTGCCTCTGTGGGACGAGTGGAGAAGATCTCCTCCACTACCACTCCAAAAAATAGGCTGGCTGAAAATTTGTAGGTGGGCCATCACAGATTAGTAAGAGCTACTAAAGCACAGCCGTGTTAGGATGTGTGATTATCTGATGCTGTTTCCATCAGAGAACTCGCAAAATCTGACTAGAACAGTTAATGGAACAGAGCATAAAATGCCCCCCAAGTTATTGATTCTATCCCTTGATCCTTTTCTGAAGCAGTAGTGAGACTGAAAAATGGATAACAATGATGTAGATATACAGGAAGCCTTTTAAAAGGAGATGTGGGTGTGTTTTTTCTCATCAGAACATTACCGCTTGTTAATTTTATCCTCAGTCCTTCCTTTCATATTCTGGCAAGGTTAATTTCAAGGACAGCTATCTTGAAAGCAAATTCCATGGTTATATTTTCATTAAGAAAAACACGTAGGAAATAAACTACACAAGATTCGACTGTTAATGTTCTTGACATTTTAATAAATGAATGCTTAATTGTCAGTCTTGGCGAATACATTAACTAAAACACACTAAAAAAGCTCAAATGCAGCACTTTAAACCTTTCTGTTGACACTTTAGTATAAATGATAATGAAGAAAACTTAGCAAATCAATTAAGATGGAAAAAAATTAGTATCTGGATCAATTTAAAGTTTCTGTTACTGTCTAAGGTTGTCAGCCTTATGGCAATATGAAAACTGCAGTGTGAGTAAAGGTGTATTCAGAGGCCAAATTAGGATCAACAACAATGCTGTTAGGGTAAGTAAAATAAAAGTTAGTACATAGTTTTTAAACCCCAGATATATTTTCTCATCTAACCCCAGACATTACATTACAGAAGTTAAAATGCGCTTATAGAGATTATAGTTTGAAACAGTAAGGGTGTTTTTACAATTATTTGTGCATACGTTAGTGTTTGCATTGCTTACATGGTGATTGCATACATACAATTACTGTATATCACTTATGTGGTAGTAACATCCATATGATTAAAGCTTTTTATTTATTTGCTTATTAGGTTTATATCCCAGTGTATCCCAAAGGCTCAAAGATGCTTACAATAAACAACCCACAAAGGGGATTCCTCAAACAACTCCCCAGAACCAAAAAACTCCAGCTCTCTCCTACCCCTCAAATGCTGCCTCCCTGCCCAAAGCCCCACAAAATAAACCATCCCCACCAGTCCTGACCATGTCTCTGAACCACTCACATCCGGTTACAAAATCTCTTTTTCACTCCATCCCCTGCTGGCTGACTGTGCACTCCCATAGCCTTGCCTCAGTCGCAAGGGAGATCCTCCACCCTTCCCAAATATCCCTTCCAATCTTGCACCTAATCTCCTACAGAGGGGCTGCAGGTGTCACCACTTCTCCAAAATAACTCTAACTCCCCCTCTCCCTCACAACACATGCAACACCGAATTCTAAAGACCCCTAAAAAAGGAACAAAAGGAAGATTTTTAGTCCCTGCCAAAGGGCAACACTCAAGGGTGCCTTCTTGGTGTCCCAGGGCAGTGTCCATCCATGAAAGCCTGCTGGTTTTGTAAGACCTACAGACTAGCAGGGTCCTTCTGCCTCCTTTTAGTGGTCGTGTTGTTGTTCCTAGGACTATCCAGTCTCAAACTGTTCATCCTGATCCACATCTTGAGCTATTAGAACTAGTGTCTTCTCCACAGTACTTACCTGGAGTCCAGGAGAGTGGAGCAATGGGAATTATATTCTTTTATTTCCAGCTAATGTCAGAATATAGCAAATAGGACCCTATTTACAAATTATTTTATGTTCTTTCCAGCTTTGCCACCATGCCAAACAGAAATAAATGAAAGATGGGTCTTGAATAATAAGGAAGTCTAGAATGCTAATATGATTTCAATTTAGTAAAACAGATTAAAAAAAAATTTGACATTTAGTTATAGAAGCTTCTTATATATTTTGTAAACTATAGCTGGACATTAGGAGTAATTGTGAAATCTATTTTTGCCTTTATCTGGATACATATTAATAATCAACTGAAGATCACGCTAAGGTTTTTATAAAGTGTTATTTAAGTTCACTAAAAAGATTAGTATATGGATCACTTCCTTTCATAAATAAAAAGAGAATAAGATTCCCTTCCTATCACTCATTCATTGAATGATAGCATAGATCTCTTTTCACTCCATAAAGTTGCAGATTACTCCTGTTAGATGTTGGGGGATCTCTGAACGGCCTTATTGCCATTTCCAGGCTTAATTCATGAAGTGGATGGCAAACTCTGGCATTCCCAGCATTTTAGCACAGCGTAAACCAAACATAATTGAACAAAAGTTCTTAATAAGCAGTGAAACTTCCCTCCTGCTACTGCCTGAGTACATGCACTCACATGTTTGGACTTAAAGTGAAAAGCTAAATAAATAAACCCATAGGACATGCTTCCAAAAACAAACCAACCCCCACCACACACACACATACACAGTCTTTCAAACCAGAATGCATTGCCTGAAATGGATGCTCTTTAAAAGAAAAAATGCATCATTTCCAAAAACATTTTCATTTGCGTGGGGGGGGAGGGGAGGGGAGGGGAGGGAGTGGGGTTGTTGTGTATAGACTTTTTAAGTTTTAAAATAGGTAGTGGATAACATTTCTGTAACAGAAAAATTGAATCAATCAGTGCCTTGATTAAGCAGGAACCTAAAAGGGGGAAAGTAATTAGTTGGATTTATTCCTAGTAAATTCCACTGACTTTAACTGGCTTATACCATATAGATATTTTCAAATCTCTTAGGTGAAAGAGTTACTTTTATAAAGACATCTGTCCATCATGTTGCATATAGCATACAATTAATGTTTATCTTAAGCTAATAAATGAAATATTTTAATTTAAAAAAACTTGTCCGGTTTTCAGTTATACAGTATTGCCAATTCTCATGATTTTTGTCATTGTTCTTAAGGGCTACGCTTCAGGAATATGAACAACTTAGCTCTCGCTTTTATCTATATCTATATTTAGATATAGATAAAAGAAAGCTAAGTTTTTCACATTCCCAAAGTGTATACTTTAAGAACAACACCAAAAAATCATGAGTTGGCAACACTGGTTATATGAATTCAGATATTTATATCAAAGCGTTTGTATCAAACATGGAATAAAATACTCACAAATTGTCTTTTCAGTTGTTTAGAAAAGTATGAACTCAAATGTGTCCCTATAAAATAAAATGATATGTAGATATGTAAGTACCCTTCCAAGTAGGTGCCTAGAGAAAAAGTGAAAATAATCAACATGTATTTGTTTTTTTCCTTTATTCATAGTTCTACAGCTAATAAGTACAGTACTTCTCTCTCTCTGCAGCTTGAAGGCTGAGAACTTTGGTTCATTAGCTGGATGTTTGTAGCCTTTCTTGAGGAATTCCTCATCATTTCGTAGCTTCTAAAAAAAGTCAGTGATGGTCACCAGTCTTATGAAGATGGATAAGGGCTCTATTAAGCTCTGATCCAATTCTGTACTCCTTAACCTAATTATAACATTTCAGAATTGCTTTAAAATACCACAGGCCCTTCAGGATGTTTTAGGTCACTGACCCTAATGAGTTCCTTGCCCTTGTCCTCATGTCTTCTCAGCAGAAATAGTATTTCTTATATTTAATATCTGGGGTTACATTGCTTGCCAGTGTTTTTGCAAATTACAAAAATACCTGGATTGGATTAAATGATAAAATGAGGAAGTCTGCTATCAGTAGCCTGGACAAATACTAAATGATTCTCATACTGTGGCTCTGAGATGGATAAGTATTATCACATCAGTTTTAGAGATGGGTTAATTAAGATACAGAGAGGCTCAGACTGACAATAATTCAATCTCGGGGCTAAGAACAAAACCCATATGTCCTGATCCTGAGTTACTTGCTCAAACTAGAAGACAGCAGTGCTTAATCATATATTTGTTAGTAGTTGAAAAACCACATACTAAAATGTGTCTTTCAGCTCTGGCTTGCTGATGATTGCTGGCTACAAGCAAAGTTATATTTAGGTATTCATCAGGACTATGATCTTGAAGACCCAAGACCATACTGTTTCAGTGTCATGGTTGGACATGGCAAGAATCATTATTTTAATGTAGAGCTGGCCAATGAGTTGGCAGAGTGGGAGAAATCATTTCAGAGATCAATTTTCTTGGAAGTTCAAAGAACAGGGGTAAGTAATATATGATTTAAATACTGCATCTATTTAATTGCTTTTAATTAATTTTAAATGTCTTTAGACATTCTTATGGAAATTATTGTTTAAAGTGTCTCTGGAAATTAATGTCTGAATCCTATGATATAGAGGAATCCATCATCATGTAAACAGTGATTAGTCTATAAGTTCATACTCTGTCTCATATGAAAAATAGTTTTTATATGAACACATTATTATAACAGTTACCCTAATAACAATACATGAAAAATACATTTTGTTATTGGAATCAGAAAAATGAACCTGGTTGTTAGCCTTCTAAAAGGTTAATCTTCCATTAAAAAAGGACTAAGTGTTCACATTCAGAAAGGGGTTTAGTAGAGGTGATATGGTGCGTTATCTTGCATAACATCTAGGCCTCAGTGCCAAACAGCAATTAAGGCAGACAAGGTTATTTGGGTGAAAGTGATATCTTTTATCAAACTAACAAAATTGTTGGGAAAAGGTTCTTTGCAAGCTTTCAGGCACAAACACTCTTCTTGAGGCATAAGGAGAGTCTGCAGCTGCCCTGTGTTCTTCATGGTGGAATAAAAACCAATATGCAAAATACAGGTCTGTAAAAATGCAAGAGTGTGGCAGTGAGGATCAGAGGGAATGGGAGACAATAGGTGAGAGACAGGTGGGGGAGGTGCGGGAAGAGGGTAATGTTGAACTGGTGATAGAATGTAGCCGGTAAAATGCCGACCGGTTAGCTGGGATTATCAGATGGCAGACTGGATTTATTGCACATTATAACCTATGTCCTAGATGATTTTTTGTATCTAATAGATTTATGAAGTGAAGTCCATAGGCTCATTTACAAAAGGTGACTAAAAAGAGTAGAAGAGCAATGTTTGTCTATAATCATATCTCTCTCCTGTTTTAAGTGACTCCCTGCAGCCCCCACATTAGCTATTTCTATTAATACAGGATTCACCATGTGAAACTTCTACTTAGACTTATATCACATAGCACCAGAGAAGGAGGAGCCTACATTTTGCCCAAGTTCCTAGTGTTTAGAATACTTGTCCAGGAAGAAAGAGAGAACTGAGTTTTAGGTTTCTTCACCTAAGGGAGGTTCAAACATCTTCTTCCCAGGAAAGTGGCCTTACCACTAAGCTGTCACTTTACAGTAGGCTCAGAATACTTTCTGTCCTACTGAAACTGGGTCTCTAGACAACCAAGTGAACAGGATTTATGAGCTCAGGAGATGAGCAAGCCATTAGCTCAGGCTCTTGCCCTTAGATGACTGATGTGTATTGTACTAAAAAGTTACTGGGAAAGAGTACATAAACAGCATCAGTAGCAGGGCCTAGAACCAGAGGCCTGCTCTTCAGGATACTGCCCTTCACACTATGATACAGAGTCACATTACTTTTTATTTGGTCTTCTTCAGGATGCATGAATCTTGTGCTCCTGACTGCCCAGTAGCACTGTTTCAGCAGGAGGTCTTTGGCACTCATACCTAAATCTTCTGCAAGACAGTGTACCACGTCATTCAACTAAATCTATGAAGAATATATTTGGGGCATCAGGCCCCTCAAAGGATGTGTAGGAGCAGGGTTGACAACTTTGTGAATCCCAAGGAGTTTTAAGAAGGTCAAGATACTAACAGAAATCTCTTATTCAAAATACCAAATAATTCATACTGCCATGGTCAGAATGGTTTTCAATGCTGTGGTCCATTTTTGCCTATGGACTTACACTTAACATTTGCCCAGACACCTAGGCAAGCTTATGCTAACTCTCATGTTAGGGAGAAGACACTTTGGGCATCTTGACACATGCTCCAGGGTCGGGGTGGGGCATTTTAATTGGAGTGGCTTCTGATCTTGGGAGGCGCTCTAATTAAAACGCCCGCAGCATCTCATGCATTCAGCATTCCATGCTTCAAAATGCTGATGGGACACTTTAACAAAAGCTTGTTTAACTAGCTTTAGTTAAAGTGCCCCCACCACCATTTTGAAATGTGGGGACACTGGATACACATGATGCCAAAGCTGCTGTCGCATTCTAATTAAAACGTGTCAGAGCAGGCATCAGGTATGTGTATAGGTGTCCCTTAATTCCAACTAAAAGGTTGCTAGACCACCTAAATCCCCTTTTCAGGCTGGGTTTAAATTAATTTACAAGATCCTCGATTTTTAAAATTGAGATACCAAATTGCATTTTGTTCTGATATTATGTATAGGTAATTGTAAATGAGAAGTGACTCGCTTGATTTGAAATGGTTCAGCCAGTGTAAAATTGTTGCAAGATGAATTTAAAAGGTGTTGTGCTGAATGAGTAGTTCTTAGGTTATCACTGGTTTATGACCCATCTCAACCCACTTCTTTCCTTAGCTATGACAATGCAACTTTTGTTCACTTGAATGGTAATTACCTTGGTGGTTTTGAAGACATGGTTGGATGTGTGGTTTTGGATGTAAGACTAACATCTTATTAAAAGAATGCAATTGTAATAAACAAACAGTAAAGTAATTAGTAATATCTAGAGGCCATATTCCCAGGTGCACAATACAAGCTTCTAGCTACCATACAGACTCCTTCACCACTCCAAGACCCCAGAGCTTCCAGAAGACTAGTTCAGCCCTAAATGCAATTTAGCAGAGTCTTGATGCTAATTTAATAAATGCTGGTTTGCAGCGGCCACAGGTTTTTATCCCAGGTAGGAACTGTAGAGTACATTCGCACTTCCTTAAGCCTCTAGTTCATCAGCATACACTATGTCTGATGGACAAGAAGCCTAGGAAAGGTTATAGAGTAAATTATACTGGGCTTCCACTATTTAAGGCATAGGATCCCCCTATGCCAGGAAAATCTCCAGGCACTCGAGACAGTTTTAGGCTCATTTGGACCCCTCAAGTAGAACAATGGTAACAAAAATGTTGAAGATGCATGGTCCCTACAGTCTATAGGGAAATACTATTCTTTAGATAAGTTTATTTAAATAAAAATAATGTCAGTAATTCTGAGGTATTTCCTTTTCTGAGATGGACTAATTTGTTAAGGATATTTTTTTTTCTCCAAGCAATCTTTGAAAAAAAGTTATACATATTATAGATTTTTTTACTGTATAAACAATGGCATACGATTTTCAAATTCCTTGCCGCCACAAGCTCAGTAATATTTTTTGGTAATTTTTTTTAGTTTTGGCTGCTAATTTTAAGTTAACTTCTGTGAGTTAATGTTAAACATCTGTTAGTATGTCTTTTAGCCAAGTATGTGCATGAAGATAAAAAGTTATCAAATGACATACCTTATATGACATTATATGACATCTTAAACTGCTGAGGGGGGTGGCTGAAAATGGGAAAAAAATTATAATGGTTGCAGTGGAGAGTCAGGTTCATACAGAAGAGGCTGTCTTAAAATAGAGGAAAGGGAAACCAGCTTTCAGCAGATTTCTATTGTGTTTTATATTGAGGATTCACCATCCAGCAGATGGCTGACCCCAGAGACAGGAAGGGCTTACAAAAAATTCTAGGTAGGTACATCTTTGAAGTAAAACCAGTATATTTATTTATTCCAATAAATATGTGTTTCTGTATTTCTGGGCATTGATTTCTTCCTTACAAATTCTCAAAAGCTGGTTTGAAAACTGATTAGGATTCTGAGAGATACTAAGACTGTTCACTGTGTATACTGGGCACATCTAGAGTAATCCCCCCATGTAAATTAAAGAGATAGTAATTGGTTCCCTGACCAGCCACATAATTATCCTATTTATTAGTAACATAAATAGCACTCAGAGTAATTAGGGTGAAGACTAGCCAAGAGGAATTGGCTCTGTACCTAATTTAAAAATAGATAAATTGCTGAAGTGCTTATTGTTGAATCTCAAAATCTAATGCCCTTCTACAAAACTTTCTACAGGACTTTCTATGTTAAGAAACAGTTATTCACTTCTTATATTTTTGTGCAACTATCTTTCTCATTTAAGTTCATCAAACTTCTAACCAAAAATAATGAAATAATAACGATCCTTCTCCCAGTCTTAGTTCATGCCAATCAGAAGCCTCCAGTATGACCATCCAATTAGAACCCTGATGGCAGGACCCAGGTTTTATCCATCCTTCACTTATTTCCTTGCTCCTAGATATATACACTGCTTTAAACTACTGTTTTTGCCTGGGATTAGGACATCCTGGGTTCCTTTGCAGCAATGAGAAACATGCAGGTTGTTCTGACTCCACACATTCCTGCTTTACTTCATAATGTAAACACTTAAAAAGTCAGGTGCAAGAAGTGCCCCCAGTAGGATTGCCATCTCTTCAAAAGTATTTCAAGATCAGCAGAGATGAGTGTTCAAATGCTGCATAACATACAAATGTTACTGGTAGTAAAAAAGGCTGGGATCCTAAAAGCATTTAAAGGATCACCATGTCTGAGACTAGCCTATCCTTAGGAATTTATTCTTTTCAATATTCATCTTATTGCAATGAACACAGTCTGAATTCACATACCACTGTCCCAGATTCACAGCCAGTGAGAGCAGATCAAACTCTGTCAGTCAGAATTTCAGTCATTCTTTTTAAATAGTACCTGTTCCTACGATCTATTCAGGTGTGGTAAAGAACTCTCTCTTTTAAGTAATAGCATATAACTTTAGCTTACAAACATATACACATCTGCCTATACACTTGCTTATTTGCACTTCAGTTAAAACGTGTTGGAGCAGACTCAATTAATCAGGTCTGCTCTGTGTTCTAATTAAAATACTCTAGCATTGCCTCATTATGCCTATTAAGCCTCTGTGCATTTTAAAATGGCTGCTGGGGCACTTTAACTAAACCTCATTTAATGAGCGGCCATTTTTAAATGTGTGGCAACATAATAGATGTGACAATGAGGTGTCTTAGAGTGGCTCTACAGTAACTGCTCTGCTTAAAATATTCCCTCCCCCCTTACCTCTGAGCATGTGTATAGGCAGCCATACTTTTCATTCTGGTTATAAGGATAAGAATAAAGTTTATTGGG